CTCCCCACCTGGTGGGCAAGGCCGCGCTGCTCCCCGCGCTGCATTCCCGCTGGTCGCACCCGCCGCTCCCCCACGGTGCACTCTCCTGTGTCTCTCCTCTCGTCCTCCAGGCCGTTGTCTCCCAGTGCATCCTGTTCTGCCCTTCCTCTCCTACATCACAGGTCTTCAGCTGGTGAACACCAAGAGGTCCCTGCATCTCCCTGAAATTTTATGCAAACTCCCGTGTACACGTCCACCGTGTCAGAAATGGAGTCACCATTTCCTTCAGACTCTCAGCGGGTTTCTGACCACTGAGTTTGAAACCTTTAATGGACATGTTGCTCTCCTTTAGGGCTCTGCCTGAGGGCTGCTTTTATTGTCACTTTATTCCCTGCTCCTCTTTTTTTTTTTTTCTTTTTTTTGTCCGGCAACGGATCGCAACCCTCAGTGTCGCGCCTGTACCAGACCGGCAATGGGATCGCAACCCTCGATGTTGCACCCACACCTCGCTCAGCCAGTGAGTGGGAACCGGTCTGTATGTGGGATCCGAACCCTCGGCGGGTGTGCCGCTGCACTCCCAAGCGGCGCACTGTAGCAGTGCGCCACCGGGCCAGCCCCTCCCTGTTCCTCTTTTGATGTTGTTTTGCCGTCTTCGTCCACTACTGTAAACTTCATACATGTACGGCTTATAAGTCCGTTGCTAGTACAGGCCTCTCTCCTGAGCTACAGACTCATACGAGGCCACTTCCAAAGGTTTGTGGAAAGACAGAATGAAAAGATAATACCCGTCTTTCCGTGTCCTGTGTGAAGGACCCTGGTGGATCTGTCTCCCCACCTGAAAGTCCTGCAGGCATTTCTGACTCAACGGGTTCAATATTCAGTTTGTCTTCACACAAACCTACTCTTCCTCTTATTCTTTTCTCATTAATGGTGCCCCCATCAACTCAATTAAATGACAAATTCATGTTAGATGTTTCTTTTTCCACCTGTTTCAAGGCCAGTCCTTGATGAAGTCCAATAGGTCCTGTCTGTCGTGTGCATTTGGGATTCACCTCCTCACTGCCTCTGCCTTGCCCCAAGTCTTCTGGATGCTTCCCCTGGACTATGCGCCCTCTCCTCGCTGCCATCCTGCGGTCAGGCTGCCCAGGCTTGTCCCATCCCCACCACCACGACCCCCGGGGGAGCTTTCTGAACTGCACGTGGTTACACTCTTCAGTGGACCCACGTAGCCTGTAGGGCAAATTCCAAACACTTTGGGGTGGCAAGGAAGCCTTTTACCCCTGGCTCCTGCCGACCTTTCTGGCCTGCAACTGTTTTCTTGAGTCTTGGCTTCTGCTCTTCCAGTAACACCGAATGCCCTTCCCTCCTTTATAACTTGGCAAATTCCTGTTTGCTCCTGACAACTAACTCCTCTGTCACTCTGTTGACCCTCTTGCCAAGGAGCTTTGTGCGCCTCCTTCTGCTCCCATGATGCCTTACCCGCTTCCCTGTTAAGGTACTCACCACATGGCTGTCATATTTAGTTTTATTTTACTGTCACCTGCAGCCCAGGCCTGGTTCTATCACTATAACAATAGCTTGCCATCTGTCTTCAGTCACTTCTTTCTTTCCCTGGACTCCAGGTCTATATAGGAAGATCTAGTAGGGTCAGCAAGGTAGAGCAAGTAAGACCCTGGACATGCACTAGAGATCCAGGGAGTACACACGGGGTGGGTCTGGACAGGACTGTCAACGGGCACAGAACACAGAAAGAGAAGGTCAGGACCACTTTGGCTTAGTGCCCAGGGCCCATCTGCAGACCCTGTAAGGGAGCACTTCTTTAGAATACTGGGCAGTACATTGTCTCTTGGGGCTCTGAAAGAGTTGAAATGAATTCTTTAGTGACCAGCTTAAGACACATGTACAACTGCATCTGCTCCCCTGTAGGTTTCAATATGAATAATAATTTTGATATTTTCCAAATTCTGACACAATCATGTGGTTTTCATCAGGTCCTAGAATGGCCAGAGGTGGCCTACAGGCACATGTAGATGCTTGAAAGAGGTAGTTTAGCAAGAAGTGAAATGAAGTGAGAGGACATGGGTTCTAAGATCCCTTCAGGGCCACCTTCTGGTCATTTGAATACGCACTACCCCAAGGCTGAGAGGAGGTCAACCACAGGTCAGCCTAGAAGGACTTCATGGCTACAGGAGGCATGGCGTAGGCAGCGCAGTGGAAAGAGCCCATCTCTTCTGCCTTCTGGGTGTTTATCTTTGGGCAAGTTGTGTTACATCTCTGAGCTACGGTGTGCTCGTCTGTACGTCTATCTTATAGTATCATTGAGTGGCTGAGATGCTCAGAGCCGAGCCTAGTGGACATCGGTCCAGTCTCTCTTCTCAGGGTAGGTACATACCTAGCCCATCCTTACCAATGAGAGATTAGGAGCCTGGAACCTGCTCATAGATTCCACAGTCTGTCCCTTGTTGCTCCTGGCAGACACAACATGGGGATGACTGGGCAATGGTTCTGACACAGTATGTGCTTCCAATGGTCTCATGGGGAAAGTCTGTCTCTGCATATTTTCTGCTTCAAATTTACCTTACACTTTTTCTCCCAGAAGGATGGAGGCAGTAGTTGCACAGGAAGATGAGTTTTCAGGGTCCTCGGGGAAGGCATTGCATTAGCCTGGTCAATCCCTGCAAAAAATGGTTCTGGATCATTATTTAA